GTTTCTTCCTGTAGCACCTTCTCAAAAAAATATCTGCATAAAATTGCTTGCATGACTGCAGAGGGGAAAGAATTTACTTTAAGTGGCCTCAGTTGTTCAGCATATGATGGTTGGTACAAAAATGTATCACATCTACCTGGTGAGGAATTTTGAGCGGTGTGCACTCTGAATGTATGGTGATGAGTGAGGTCAGGGAACAGGTTCTGCAGTGAGCCGTGGGCACCACACAGCTACCAACTTGGCAGCAGCAACATCAGAAACATCAGAACAGTGCTAAACTTAAATATAAGCCCAACATATTCAAAAACAGCTACTATGAGATGTATTAGGGCAGTTATATTTGTTATTTTTCATAACAAATGAGCAGTGTATTTCCAGCAGGCTGTATACATGCTGTCAGATATGCTTTATAGAAACTGCACAATTTGTATCATATGTTGACTATTAGTAACACTTTTCATTTAAAAATACACCAGTGAGTGGTGTACAAAGTACTAAGACCCATTTAAGAGGCTAAATAACCAAATTAGAATTAATGGGAAAATTTCTTAGGGAATAAAATTTCCAGAAAATTAGAAAGGTAGTTCTTTAATAAGTAAGCACCTGTGGGATGTTTGGTGAAAACCTCTGTTCCAGATTGTCTTACTCTTTCAGTCCTGAAAGAGAGGTTGGTCTTTGTGGAGTTCTGTTCTTTTCAGATGTCATTAAAAGATATTTCTTGCCAAAACTCTTCCCAACTGAGATGTAGCTTACATAAGATGGCCTTCATGCCAAAGGAAGTTGGGCAGGAAGTTGGTCACTAGCTCCAGCTCAGCCCCTCCATGGCTAAGTGTCCTTGACGAAAGTGGGTTCCCCTTTGGGGGTGGGAGGTGGGCTCATCTTCTTCAGCTGTAAAGTACAAAGGTTGAGCTGATGAACTGTTGTGGGGATGTTGGGCATGTTTATTCAACCATTCCATAAGGGTTCACTGAACACCTACTATGTGCCTGACACAAGTCTGTTCATTGAGCAAAACCAGACCGGCATCGTTGCCCCCTGGGGCTTTGATTTTAATAGGGAAGAGATGTTTCTTAATTAGATAACCACAGAAATAAATATGTCATCCCAACCCTGGTAAGTGCTATGAAGGATTGACGGAGCACATGGGGCTGGAGGGGCTCATATTTTAGTATGTGTACTGCCAAAGTGAGCACTGGAGGGGCTCATAATAGGGAGATTCATTGCCCCAAGAGGGAGATCTGAAGGGGCCTACGATGGAGGGGGCAGGGCTTTGAAGGCAGAGGAGGTGCTGCTTCCTAAGCCCAGTACAGCATCCTGGCCAGCCACCTTATCTCTATTTCTCCATCTCCTCGCCTCTAAAAATGGGACTAACATCAGGAACGGTTCACGGTGTTGTAAAGTTTCAGAAAGATGACATGTTTCAAAGCACCCAGTATCAGGCAAATTACATTTAATTTCATTTCTAAGAATAGCTTTGGAAGCAGAGACAGACCATTTCGTACATAGGACTTCAACTGTAGAGAATGAGCAAAAACAGCTCTGAGGCACCCCTTTTCAAAGAAGTCTGAGTTCACATTCCACCCTGGAAGGCGCCTGCCTTCCCTTCATCATGGAGCCATGTTAGCATCACTTGACTCTGAAAGCCTAGGAACGTCCTTGCTGCCTGATGAAGTGACAGAGGCCCAGGCTCAGGGTGCTGGAGAAGCTTAGACATGCCTGGCCTGTTCTCTTGCCATTTACATGTGAGGAAAAGAGGCTGATCACAAATGACAAAACTGGAATGAGGAGGCAGCTCCCTACCCCCACGGTCCTATGCTTTCCTGTATCATCTATGTTCCTTTTGGAAACTATGGGTACTTTCTGATGTGACTGGGCTGCTTTCGAGTGCTTACGTGATTCCTTCTCAAGAGAAAGCAAGCTTAGCACTCCCTCATAACTCCTCAAGGCCCAAGGATTACTCCTGTAATCTTATAAAAGCAAACAGGAGGACAGAAATAACCCATCAATTGTTTAAAATTAAAATGGCCAACAATAATACATAACTGCCACAATAGCTTGAGGTCAGGGTCTTAATTTATTGGAGACCATTCAGGAATCTGAAACTTTTCTCTGAGTTAATTTTTCACATCTTGTTTGGATCCTTAGAGCTCTTGCTTCCAAAAAGCAAGGCCATCAGATCTCTCCTTGCACATGTTATTCTTGCTGATGCGCCAGGGTTTGCAGGAAAGTGAGGTCTTCTCTTCACGGATGGGTTATGAGGATTGTTCCCCCTGCAATAATCTGTGTTTCAAAGTATTACAGCCTACTGAGATTTGAGATCTTTCTCTTCTCTTTCATGCTCTATTCATTGTATTAGTGGTTGCAAACAACAATAAACATGTGCTGGTTAATTTAAGCAGAAAAGGAATTTAGTGCTAGGATATGGACTGGTTCAGAGCCTAGGCAGGAAACTTGGAGAACCAATGTGAACGGGAAACAGGGGAGACCAGGCTTAGCTCAGGATGCCACCTCTGGGCTCTCAATACCTCTGTAGCTCCCCTCAGATGATCTCAGAGGGCCCGGGTATCTTTGTGCAACCCTCAAAATTCATGGCCCTGGTTGGGAGCATCTGCTCACCATTCTGAGGCCACTGACTACCCTGAGATCACATGACTGCATAATCAGGTGTCCAAACTTTAGCTATCAAGAGAAGGGAAGAGGCAGGGTCAACCTCCTCTCTTCTGATGTGCCTCTCCCATCTATCTTGGGGTTCCTCCCTAACGGGAAGGTGTCAGGATGCTGAGCAGCCAAAAATACCAATTGTCCATTACACAAGCCCTCATAAGCTTAATCACATCATCCACTAACTGGTTGGCCAAAGATTGGCTACCAATGTGGTTTTATTTTGTCCACAGCTCATGTCACATTAACAGTCACCCATCTCATGTACATCTTCATCATCGTCCTCACCCCTTCTTATCCCATTAATGGTCTGCTCATTCCCTTGCTTTACTGAGATGCCATCTCCCTTCATCTCTTCACCCCTCAAACATTCCCTACTCCTTCTCTCCCTTCCCAGTCTTTGACTCTCCTGTTTCAGTGAAAAATAGAAGCAATCACAAAGGAACCTCTACTTTGTTTCTAACACCCATTTACTAACACATTGGTGCCATTGGCTCTAATTTCTGACCTTGTACTAGCTGAGGCCAGCCCTTCCATTTGTTTACCAGGCCATCCTGCAATTATTCCTTGTCATGTCATTAATTGTTCTCTCTATGGAACATCCTACCCATACTTGTGCAAATGTGATAATTTCCATCTTTTAAAAAATTGCTTTGAGCCCACTCCCCACCCTCAGCTCCCATCCTATTTCTCTGTTCCCCTTTATGGAAAAACTCCTCCAATTAGTTGAATGCACTTACTGTTTCCATTTATTCTACTCCTTTTTTTCTTAAGCCAATTCCAAGCTTTCATCCCTGTCACTTCACTTACACAGCTCTTATTGAGATCATCAGTGACCTCCAGATGGCTAGTTCCAGTGGCCAATCCTAATTCTTCATGTTATTTTGGCCTATCTGCAACATTTGGCAAAATTGAGTATTCCTTCCTTGAAACATTGCTTCTGTGGCCATTTAGGTACCATCTCTCTTGGTTTACCTCCTACCCCCCTTGTCATGCTTTCTCTTTTCTTCCTCACCTGTAGCTCCTAAGTATGAGACCTCTTCTCTATCTATACTCATTCCCTAGCAATTATATCCATTCCATCCCAAATGTGTATCTCCAGCCCTCCTTCAAGATTTGTGCATCCAGCTGTCCAACACCTCTTCTTAAATATCCAATAAGCATTTGAATTTTTTTTCTGTTGAACTTTCTACATCTGTGGTCTTTCCCATCTCAATGAATGACCACTCTTCCCTTCCAATTGCTGAGCCTAAATCCTTGCAGCCATCCGTAACTCTTTTTCCCTAATACCCTTCATCCAATCAATCCATCAGCAAAATCTGTTGGCATAACTTTGGAAATACATCCAGAACATAACTTCTTCTCACTACTTTGGCTTTGATGACTGTGGTCTGAGTTGCCTTCTGGATTATTCTGAGAGCTTCCTAAACAGGCTCCCTGCTTCCCCCATGACCATGTACTCCACAGACCATTCGCATCACAGCCAACATGAACCCTCAGATGTGGGAGTCAAATCTCACCACTCTGTGTAGAGCCCTGCAGGAGTTTCATCTCAGAATCAAACCAAGTCCTTGTGATGGCCTCACAGTGCCCCATATGGTCTGTCTTCCCCTACTTCCTTTGCCTCCCATGCCTATTTGTTCCCACACTCCCCCTTGCTCACTGCTCTTAGCCACTCTGGTGTCCTTGCCAGTCCTTAAACAAGCCAGGCATGACTTCCCCTTTGCTAGTTCCCAGGTGTCTATGTAACTTGCTCCTTTTCTTCCTTCAGGTTTCTACTCAGAGGTCACCTCATCAGTGAGGCATCCCCAACTACCCTATTTAAAATTGTAACCCACTCTCCCTCCAAATCCATCATTCTCCACCCCTCTTACCCTTTGTGAGTTTTGTCTGTACCTTTTAGCACAATCTGACCTATATGTTTGCTGCTTGGTATATGTGTTTTCTGTCTCCCTGAAGCCATAAGAAGGCAAGAACTCTGTTTTATTCACTGTTCTCTCTTCTAGCAAACAGAGTGGCAGTGAGTGGCTGTAGTAGGTACTAAAAAACATTTAAATGATTACATGGCCAAATTACATGTCTAGGGTATTAAATGTCTTATAATTTTCTGAGATTGATGTGAGCTCCAGAAGAACATATCAAGTTAGGCTATTAGATGAGGAAACTGAGGCCCTTGGGAGCTAACTGTTTGCCCAAGAATGTATGGCTGGTTAATGGGGTTCCTGGAACTTGTGGCTCTGACCCCAGGAGAGTTTTTTCTCCCAACCCCCAGCTACCCTCTGATATCTCATGTTAGTGAAAGCTTCAGGGAATTCATTGCTATTTATTTTTCATTACAGTGTTGATGGAAAAACCCCATATCTAGCTTTGGGGGCTGTGAAGAATATTTCCCTGAACATCTCCATCTCAAACCTTGGGGATGATGCCTATGATGCCAATGTGTCCTTCAATGTTTCCCGGGAGCTCTTCTTCATCAACATGTGGCAGAAGGTAAGGAAGGCACCCCTGAAAGAGAGTCTTTGTTCCATCTGGTGCATTTTCTGACTTTCATCATAGCTTGCAATGTGTAGTGATTCTGAAAAGACTGTTTCATTATGTGGGATATCATTTGGAACCATGAGAATTTTTTCTCCTGGGACTTAGAAGGTGTGTTGGTACAACCCAAGAAGAAACCATAAATACATACAGAGTACTACAGCAATATCCATATCTAACATTGTCTCCCATGCTTCCTCTCTAATGGAACCCTTTCCCTACTGTTTTTTGTCTAACCCCTTCTCCAAACACTAGAGTGTTCTAGAGAATTTCAGTTTTATGTCAGTAGTTGTAAAAACAAGATAAGAAATGAGGACAGATCACTGCTTATTATGCTTGTTATCAGCACTAGTGCACTTCATGTTTTCCATTAGGGGGGTCACATATGTCAGCCTGTGCTTTGGCATGTTTATTTATGATATATTTGAGTGAATTGAGGAAATTAAATTATTTTCATTAACTGAATGAGCTTTTCAGCAGAATTCATGTATATGAATAAATTGAAGTTTAAGTAGAATGACTCAGAAAGGAAAAAGGAGGTGGTATTTTCTCCTTTCCCATAATCCAACTCAACAAACCACCTATGCGAAGAAAAAAGAATGAGTTTCCAGCAGGCAACAGGAATGAGTGGGGTTCAGACAGATCTCACCCTCCCCAGTGGTTGCTCTAACTCTTGACAGCAGTTTTGAAGGCAATTCTTGGAGCTTTCCAAAGTGTTTACAACATGGAACTGCAGTGCCTTGATGTCTGTGTTAAATGGAATCAAAATCACTTTCTGAGGAAAGCTTCCCCCTGCCCACAGATGAGCACACATTCAAGCCAATGGGCAAACTTCTGTTCAGACACAGATCCTGGCAAGCTCAACAGTTTTGATAGGATTATACCAACCTTGCCCTGTTTGGGGGGCAACTGACACTCTGTAGAGCGATCTGTATTGGTGGCACACTCCAAGAACTTTACAAGACGTCATCTCAAACTCTCTGCTGCTTAATAGCTTTTAGGAGCACCAGGGTTGGGGAGGGCACAAAAGCAATCAAGAAGGACCGTGAGAAAAGCATAATTCCCATCTGTCTTCTACACCCTAAAAATTGTTCTGGTTTAAGCCCAGTCAAGAGAGAACCAAGTATCTGCAGTGTTCTAGTATCTCTGACTCCATATAGAATCTCTTTTTCAGAGTTTCCTATGCTGCTATGCCATCTTTCTGTAGGGGGTGGCAGGAGAGGGGCTCACTCAAGGACAGATCTGTAAAACTCATCGCTGTGATGACTGAAAGGATATGGTTGGTGACATATCATTACTTTGCAGATTCCTCTCACCTAGGACCTACAGGAGAAATTTCTCTGGTCTCAGAATTAGGGATAGCCGTGTTTTCCCTGAGTACTTTGCTTATTTTTAACTGTAGACACAGTCCTCTCTGTGACTAGGCTTTGTTCTCTCTGTTGTCTGCTAGAAGTTTCTGAGCTAGTCCCACTCAGTTGGTATATAGGATTTGGTAGTAATATCTCACAAACAAAGGTGTAGCTTCTTATATCTTATGTTATTTCCCTTCATCATAGTTTTCTTTTTTAGCTTGGAGGCTGCATAATATTCTATCATAAAGTATACTATGGATTACACTCAAATTCCTATTATGTAGATATTTTACTCCAGTTTTATTCTCTTTAATACTGATGGATGACGACGCCTCGGTGGCTCAGTTGGCTAAGCATCCGACTTTTGGTTTCAGCTCAGGTCATAATCTCAGGGTCCTGGGATTGAGCCCAATATCAGGCTCCTTGCTCAGCAAGGAGTCTGTTTGTCTCCATCTCCTTCTACCCCTCTGTCTGCTCATGCTTGCTCTCTCTCTCTCCTCTCTCATTCTTTCTCTTAAATAAATAAATAAACCTTCTTTAAAAATACTGTAATGAATGTCTTTCACAGAGATTGCTATGAACATTATATTTTCAGTCTTGTAACTATTTGGGAGATGTAACATAGTGTTTGTTGACCACCTACTATATATAGTTATATATAGATATATAACTACTATCAGGAGCTTTACATGCATTTCCCATTCTCTCCTACTACATGGATCTGCTATAGTGGAAGAATGCTGTGGGAGAGAAGTGAAAGAAGTAGGATGAGGCAGGGAAAGGGCTAAGGGTGTGCTGTCATAAAATGTAGCCTTGGTCTGATTGATAGGATGGAAAGAGGTGGAGGGATTCCCAAGAGCATAAATCACTCAGCAGAAGTGTCTCCTCTTAAAATGGCAGGAGAGCATCATATTGACCCCTGTATTGAGCACACCTTAAGGGGTAGTAAGTAGCCCCCCAAGCATTCTGGCTGAGGAACTCTAGTCAGTTAAGGACAGTGTACCCAAGAAGACCACAGATGTGTCATTAGCTACTACAGCTAATCATTCTAATCTCTTTTCCATTGAATCCCAATAACCTTTGGCATAGGGAGCCTCAGTTTCAATTTGGTAGAAGTTGACATCAGGGGCTCTTCAGGATGTGGGAAAAAGTGTGAGAGATGTTGTAGGGCACAGAGACATCATGTAGCTGCCACAAGAGCAGACCCAACTAGAAAAACAGGCGAGATGACCCTCAATGTGGCAAGAGAAGGTAAAGAAATAAAAAATTCATCCCCTGTGATCACAACCACAACTCCATACGGAGGTGTAAATGGTATTACCCAGTCCAGAGCAAGATTCTCACAGCTCCCAGGTGGGTGGTAAAGGGGAACCAGGAGAGCCCAGTCACCCTGCACAGACCTAACAGAACCAAAGTGGACCCTACAAAAAGATTCTAACACATAAACTAACAAAAGTGCAACTCAGGATGTAGAAGGAAAACATACCTTTTTGAAGGATTATTAGTAGAAAACAAAAGTAAATTCTATAGAGCATCCACTTCTGTTCTTGACTAAATTAAGAAAAAAATGAGACAGCAAAAGATCAGATAGTAGAACAATAAATTGGGATGAAAAAGGAATGAACTGAGAGGCAAACAAAAATAAAGATTGTAGACAGAGAAGGAAATAAAATGAAACCAAGAAAGCGATGGCAGAATTAAAGATATGTTATAATCAGGAAAAAGCAGAATTAGCAGTATGGCAAATTGATTCATTGTTGTACAGGGCATATTTGAGATGGTCTCTGAGAATTCAAAGAAAAAGAACAAAGCAATAAAGAAGGATGACATTGAGGACTATAGATGTGGAAGGTAGAAACCAATCAGCAAAGAGAAGTAGCTCCATAATAGTTGGAATAGAAGACATGAGTAGACAGCAAGGAAAGATCTCCATTCTTTTGAGTGAACTCTGCAAACATCAGACAAAAATATTAGAGCACTTTAATGTCAACACACAGTTGCATGAGATTTTTAATTTGATAACTATGAAAGTGATACAACTGATACCTAACAGAAAACAAAGAAACCAGTGTTCCATAGGCTTCTTTTCTATAACAGTATTTTAAAAATCAGAATAGGTTCTCTTATGAATTGAGAATTCTATACCCAGCCAACTTGCCCTCCATTGTGGAGACAAAATAAAGACATCCTTGAATATACAAGAATTCATAAAGTCTGTTAACTTTCCTAGTTTGAGTTTCCCCAAAAACAGACCCCAGCACAATGATATGTAGGTATAGGTAATTTATTTGGGGGTGATCTCAGGAGGCACTTTGTTGTAGTGGTGAGTTTAGACAGGGAAGGGATGAAAGATAGGAACGCAAGCCTTGGGAACCCGGGTTCTATCTCACTGAGGATCCTCAAAGATCCTGGAACACCCCTCAGAAACACCCCCAGGGGTAAGGAAGCTGCTAGAGGATTTCTATACCAACTCTTACCACTCATCTACAGAGAATCACTCTAAGGGCATTAACTCCCTGACACTTTCAGCCTTCTCTGGCAATGGGCCATGCTCCCTAGAGTGAGCAAATAACTCCAGCAGTGAGAAATTGGAAGACCTTTGGCTTGGAGGGCATTGGCTTCAAGTGACCAATCCTCTGGCTGGTTCTAGAGCATATGAGCAAGGCAGCATCTGCTTCAGTAACTGTTAAAGCTTTGATAAGCATGAAACTATTCCTGAGAAATAGGATACTTACAGATAAAGTATGCAAAATTGCAATTGTGAAATAAAGTTAAGGCCAAATAAAAGTAGACATAAGCAAAAACAAATCTTGCAAGCATTTAAAATAGTAAGCAAATGTAAAAAAAAAAGTATTGCCACAGTAAATACATAACTGAAAAACTTAATTTAAAAAATAAGCCTATAATGTCAGTTATACCATAAAAATTTGAGAAGAAACTTAATCTCGTCTCTCTTCCTGTCTGACATTCTTCAGAATGGAGTTTGGACTCCTCAGCTGTTCCCTAAGAGGCCATTCTGAGCCCGCGTTTCCTGCCCTCCCTCTTCCCACAGCCTCATTGCTCACCATCCCCCACATGTGCACTCAGATCCAATTATAATCAAGCCTGGAATCCCCTCCACCCCCATGTTCTTTCATTAACTGCTCTGCCCTCAGATCTCAGCTCAGGTGCCTCACCTGGCTGCACAGGTGATGTGGGTAGGAGGGTGGGAGCTATCCTTGTGTCTGTAGCCACCAGGAGACTCAGCCCTAGACCTATGAGGTCTCCAGTCTTCTGTGTCATCACACAGTTCGTGATGTATTTATTTCTGGGACTGAACAAAACATCTCCCTGAAGATGAACTCTTCTGTGCTCTCTAATGCAAAGCTGCTTTCATAGATTTATGCTGATTCTTTCCTGAAAGGGAAGGCGGCTTATAAAAAATGTGGGATGCACATGGATAACCATCTGCTGACTTTTCTCTAACCTCCATCAAGCTAACTTGAAAACACTCTATAAAATGGGACTTAAAGTGTTGGTGGCCACCAGCTGGCTGGCTGGTGGGCTGGCTGGGGCACAGCATCCAGTGGTAATACAGTGGCCTCCTGTGGAGCAGTGTGCAGG